TTCCGGTGCCCCCACCGGGACGCGAACCGGCAACCTTCTTGCTGCGAGGCAACAGTGCTACCAACTGCGCCACCTTGCAGCCCCCTTTATATAATCAAAATATGAAATATGTAATAAAATACAATAAAATAGGGTAAGTTATACTCATGATGACATAAAGTGTGTGTACAAAAAAAAAAGCTGTAATGCAAGATCTATTCCTTTATGTCCATTTGATGATTTCGTTGTATTTTAATTTGGTGTATGTACACTTACTGTTTATGTGCTTTTTTATGGTTGTTTTGTCTGTAATTTTTTGTTAATTTAAGTAAAAATAAATAAATAAAAAAATAATAAATAAATAAATAAAACCTTTAGGGCACTACCTCAAGCCGGACGAGCGAGTACAAGCTGGTGTCCTGCTGATTCTGATTGGCTAAAAGTGCTGTCAATCTCGTTTTGGTGGCTATCGCTGTATTCTATTGGCTCTAACGATTCGAAGGAGGGGTCAATCACCGAAATCGACCAGTCCATGACGGAGATACAGCCGTGCGTCACCACAGAAGCTTCACAGCCGTCTTGGTCCCCATTACGCACAGGCCGCGCAACGGAGACGAATGTCTGGTTGAATTTTTTAAAAAAATTAAAAAAAATAAAAAACTGCTGTATTTGGATGTATTGAACACCATTAGTGTACCAAACTGTGCCAAAGTGTGCAAAAATGTCACCTCGCCTGAACTGTCTGGACTGAAAACTGTGTAATTTTGTTCTACTCACTTTATCAGAGTCAGCCTTTGCAGAGAGAATGTTCACATATAGTGCTATGATTTATGAGAGGTTTAGAGCTGCAGCTGGATCATTCCAAAGAGATAATTATCCTGAAACTGCTATTTTTTTTTAGGCGAACCTGAAATTTTTTAGTTTGTGTGTGTGCCATCTACATTTACTTTTAACCAGGAACATATATACTGAAATTTGCACATCTGAACAAATCTTACAAGTGTTCCTTTTATTATGACACAAGAATTATTCAAATAGACCTTGTGGTTGCAGAGATAAACTGTTTTCATTATGGGTATGTACATTTTCGAGCAAAGGCCTGAAAAATAGCTCAGGGCTTAAAGGGATAATAAACTTGTTTTTTCCCTTTAACCCCGTCTCCTCTTTCGTTGGGTTCCACCGCATGCCGAGTGGCTCTCAGCTGTCACAACCCACCTGCATTCACATGAGCAGATCTCAATTTTTTTCCACACCACAACCATTGCACATGCTTTTTTTAAAATACATTTTATGTACAGAACCTTTTTGCAATGTTTGTATGTGTGGGTAGATGTGAGAGACGAATGTGTCTGAATGAATTCTGTAAACGGGTCAACTGCAGCATTCTGTAGAGACACAGAATTCAGAACAAAGAATTTCACTACCGCAAGAAGTTCTCAGAGCAGGTCTTCAGGGTGGTGTCCTCTGACCTGGTCAACATGGGCATAAGCGTGGTCAGCTACACGCTCAAAGACGTTCATGATGACCAGGTATCGCTTTGCTGTCACGTGTAAAAACAGCATACCAGATGCTTCAAGAAATGTCGTTTCGAGAGGAGGAACATTTCTAGTTTTGATCTCAAAATATTGTGATGTTTTCCAAGATTTAAAACTGAACAGAAATTAATCTGATCTTTTATCCCCTTTTTGGTGCACAGGATTATCTGTATTCGCTGGGAAAGGCTTGAACAGCGCAAGTTCAGAAAGACGTTCGCATTGGAGAAGCACAGAACAAGAGAGACACTGTGATCAGGATCAGATGTAGGAGTTTGTCTTTGCAGAGGCAGAAACAAGGTTGAATTCTTTATTATGAGAGACACGTAGATAAATATTACCTCTTGCATGTGACAGAGATTGTCTTTATATTCATCATGTTTCCAGAACGCTGTTTATAGAATTTTCTGTCTCTTCCTTCGTCTGTTTTGTGTTCTCATCAGTGAAATTTGTCTAGATCTTCAACTTTTTAAGTGGCTCCTATTGATCCCTTTTGTCTCTCTGTTTCTCTCTGCAGGAAGCCCATGCAATGCAGGTGAAAGTGTCAGCTCAGTACAAGAATGAAATTGACATGGCAAAGTCCCAAAGGGACTATGAGCTGAAGAAGGCAGCCTATGATATTGAAATGAACACGAAGAAGGCTGAGTCAGAGATGACTTACCAGCTTCAGGTACACAGGGGTGGATATGAAAGCAGCTAATGCTGTTTGTCAACCAGTTAGCTGGATGTTTGTGGAGCACTGATCTAGTTCTAACTGCAAAGAAAGTGTTGTGAAGTTGAGAAACCAGTAACACACTTTATGTATTGCACTTTTTTTGGTTGTTGGAAACCAGTAACACATTCTGGATCTGATATTTTGTATCACTGAATGCGGAAATATGATGTGTATTTTCCTTCACAGGTAGCAAAGACGAAGCAGCACATCGAGGAGGAGAAGATGCAGGTCCAGGTGGTTGAGCGGACACAGCAGATCATGCTGCAAGAGCAGGAGATCACCCGCACGGAGAAGGAGCTGGAGGCCAAGGTGAAGAAACCTGCCGATACTGAGCGCTACCGCTTGGAGAAACTGGCTGAGGCGCACCGGTGAGTTGCAGCTTCATTCTCATGGCTACTTTCCTGAACACAGGATGGTGTTGTGAACAGACAGGCAGTCTTTCAATCCGAGTAGCAGAGGTTAAAGCCCCAGGAAAGAATTTAATTCCTGTTGCTCTATAGATGAGCTGATGCTTTAAAGGGGAGTTCTTGCAGTCATGTAGTATGCAAGCTTCTATTTGTCAGTTTAAACCTTTCTTTTTATGATACTTGTTTGGCTCTGTCTGAGATGGATAACAAGGCAGGTGGGACTTCAAGTCTGTTTTTGTTTTGCATCATTTAAACACCCACAAGATAATGAGAAAGAAAAGAGTGTCTCTGCATCATAGTGACGTGTGCAGAATTATTAAAGATCCTATATTATGCGCATTTACAAGGCTATAGTTTATTTTTTGTTGTTTTATATAATAGATCTGCATGCTTTAATGTTTTAAAAGCAGATTGTAATTCTAATATTGTGTATTGCTACAGCACCTCTCTTCATCTTCTGTCTTCAACGCTACATATTGCAGTCCGCCCCATGAAAAGCCCATTCTGCTCTGATGGTCAGCTGGACCGTTGACAGCTTGAATGTTGGTAACCCCAGATATCTAGCGAGAAAATAATGTGGACTGTGAGGAAACTGCTCTTTTTTTTTGTCTGAGGATGTGCTAAATCAGCTGCTAGCAGTCGCTATGCAAATGTGTTTAGCCTTGATTATACTTGACGTCATGTTGACACTCATGTGGCCTTACATGTGATGTAGATAAGTAACAAACCATGTTTTATGTTGGAAAGAGAATAACTACCTTTGTTATGGAATTTGGGCTTCTTAAGTTTGCAGTAATTTAAATGCACCAAAAAGCTATGAAACAATAAAAGAAGGGGGAAAAAACAAAAGCCATAATATGGGGTCTTCAAACACAGTGGAGCACTTCCTTTGGGATGAAATAAAAGTAAAAAAATGTCAGAGTAAAGATCAGACATTACTTCTGCCTTTTGCGCTGCTATTGTTCATTTAAATTACTGTGCAATCTGCATTGTAATGTTTTATGGTAACTGACTTTAGACACTTTTGGCATCCTATAGACCAGATACAGTCCAGATGTTTTAGGCTTGCCAGATGTTTGATGGAACTGTAATGGCAATGTGAAAGTGGATCTATCTACCTGTGAGTAACTTGTCGGAACCATATGTCTGTCTGCTCTCTGTGCATTTCTTTCTGTCAGCCTTAAGTTGATCATCGAGGCGGAGGCGGAAGCTGAGTCCATAAGGGTGAGTCACACTTCCCTTTGGGTGAATCTCAACTCAGCTAAAATGTTTTAAATGGAAATTATGCTTCCATCATGTTCTATAATGTAGATCTTGTGCCTACAAGCTTTCTTGAGTTTCTGTATATCATGGTAGGCACTTTTCAGTACAGTAAGCCCGTCCTCTTGTGTCCTTCAGGTTAAAGGTGAGGCTGAAGCGTTTGCAGTGGAGGCCAATGGTCACGCCGAGGCAGAGCAGATGGTGAAGAAAGCTGAGGAGCACAAGGACGGCGCCATGGTAGACATGCTGCTGGAGAAACTGCCTCTGGTGAGAGACGCCATCCTCCTGCACAGTCGATAATAAACACTTATACATTCTGCTGTTAGTTTATGCATCACTACTAAATGTGTGTAGTTTGTGTTTTTGTTACAGATTCATTCCTGGCTTCCATTTGACTAAATTAAAGTGAGTTATTAAGACTGACTGTAAAGATTCAGTGGGATGTGGATCCAAAAAGCAACAGAGGGTATGGTGGTTAGAAAAGAGGGATTTATTCAGGCTACAGGGAACAGGTGACACCGAGAAGCATGTGAGGGAAGCCGAGTGAGGGAGGGGGGTGTGGGCGTGGTTCCAAACATGACAGGGAGGCTGTACGGCTGTGGCTGGGTGCTCAGCTGCAGAGGCTGGGCTGGGGAATCCGTAGGTCCGTCAGGGAGGTCCTGGTGGAGAACGCAGACAAAAGCAGAAGTCAGACAAAGCGAGTTCCTTTAAGCACAATTCTCCAATGCAATCATGCTGGCCTGTTACCACTCATGGGAGAGTAATCCACTGGTGCTGGAGTACAGGTGGAGGCAGGCTGTATCCAGCGCTAAATGATGATGAGCCTCAGGTGTGGGAGAGAATGAGTGAAACCTCTCCCATCCAGAGACCCCGTCAAGCCTGAAAAACACTAGCAGCCACCACAAACGCAGGAACAGACACTAAACAATATTTCACAACCATAGCATAAAAACTTGGATTACCACACTGACATTATGAAAAAACGTATTGGTGAAAACAAATTGTAGGAAAAAAATACGAAGGAAGGTATCAATGTTGATAGTCTTCTTAGTCACATCATACTCAGTATACACATACACATTTTACCCAGCTATTGCAACTTAGTGCCAGAGAAAGATGTCAGAAATCAGCATAAACTTATATTAAAAAAAACTTTGATTTGAGTCATGCATAGCATATGTATTAAAAAGTGCCTATGGTCAGGATGAATTTACTTAATTTTGCTTAACCCCAAAACCCAGCAGCAGGTTTGAAAGGCATGTTTTTAAAAAGAATCTTAAATATGACACAATTTATCATAGCTTCAAACTGTATAACAAAAAGAATCATTGGATTTTTCAAAAAGTCCTTAAACTGCTAATCTGTGATGTGTCGTTTTATTGAAAACTTGGCCAAATTTAAGCTTAAACTCATGATATGTCTTGAGAATTCCTTTGTCATTCTATTCTACATGAAAAATGTTCTCTAAAAAGTATTTTTTCTGATTGTGGATTCTGATTCTGATTCTGATTCTGATTGTGGATTCTGATTCTGATTCTGTAAATAAACAAAAAATTCCGTACTGCTTAGCACTGCTGTGAAGCCAGTAGTGATTAAGTTGTCGGCAAGAGTCAAATGACAAAAATTCAGGGACCTTTCAACTGAACTGCAGGCTGTGTTTACACAGAGCAGATGGGAGAAGTATGGAAACAAATTAAAAATGTAAATAATAATGTATTTATAGTATGTAAGGTCACGTCTTTGAAGTATTGGTAATACCATATGTTTTTTCATTTATTGCAAAACATACAGTCAAAGAAATTAAGTTCAAGTTTTTAACATTTTTTGTAATGTTTTCTGGCATGATAACTTTGTCCTCCTGCACAGAAAACGTTTGAGTTCTCTCTCCTTCCAGTCATGGTACTATTTCCATAAAGGTGCAAAACTTTATATTGCAAAGTGAGAAAAATTGTGACAGGAGGGGAAAAAAACCCAAAAACATTCAGAGGGTTACTTGCATTCATAAAAGATTAGGTACAAGCTTTAATGCTGAGTCTAGTCGGGTGGAGTAACCGTTTGATTCTGGTTTTAACATTTTGTAGTGTTTGTCTTCCACCAGATGGCAGAAGAGATCAGCAAGCCTCTGTGTGAAGCCTGCAAAATCACCATGGTGTTCAGCGGCAGCGGAGAGGTTGGTGCAGCCAAACTGTCAGGAGAGGTTCTGAGCATCATGACCCGGCTGCCTGACACAGTGGAGAAACTGACCGGGGTCAACATCAGGTAGCTCATTCATTGCATACGGACATCACACTTACGTTCGTGTGTACACGGTCTCCTCAACTGCACTTCACTGGACTCTGGTCTGATAAAACACGTCATGTGATATCTCAAGTGGAGGACGCAACAGTGTGTTTCATCAGCAAACCCTTTGGCACCATATGTCACCATTTAATTTCAGAATTACTGTAGAAATGTGACATTTAGCTTAATGAAAACCCCTCTCTCTTTCTCTCTTTCACTCTGTTCTGTAGGTCAACTCTCATACCGGCTAAAGAGAATCAACCAAACCAGTGACCAGGCAGATCTACTCTCCTTCTGTCTTATCAGCTGCCTGGGTTCTCTGCATGAGTCTCTTATCACAGCTCAGTTTCTCTGCTCTCGTCTGCTGTTATAAGAGTTTCTCCCAGCTGGTTTGTGATGTTGCTGTGTTGTGAAAGCACTGTTTACTTTTCGTCTGGTTTTTTTTGCTTATTGATACCCAGCTCTATATGAGCTAAAGCATTGTGTTACTGTGACTGCAGTTACATTTATGCTGGCTATATGCTCACTGGTACTATACACATTCAACATGAAGCATTGTTGTGTCACAACAATAAGAAAGTCTTCATCTGTTCTGTTTTATCCGAGTCTCCTCCCGCTGTCTGTCTACCTTTAATGCCTCCTCCATAACTGCCTGTGTCCACTGCCTTGCTGCCAAACCTTAAGTGCATCTTAGCATGAAAGTGTAATACAAACATGCATCCAAAACCTTCATGCACTTATGCTACTAACATTAAATATTCTGATAGTAGACCAGAACCACAGCCTGCTGTTTTAGTCATCAGTTCTTTTTCATAATTTATTTCTGATTGAATTCATATTTAATCTATGAAGTGTGTGGGATAATCATTTTGTCAGTACGTACATTTTTAAAACTGTCATTGGTGGTTACAAGTTAACAGCTAGAAAACTGTGCTACTGTAAATTTCTATGTCATTGGTTTGTGTTATATATTTTTCAATCTGTTGTCTTTTTCAGTTTTATATATGATTTTTAGGATTTTAGGAGTATAGTTTCATAAGGACCCTTTGCTTAAAGCATACCAGTTCATGCATTAAAAACCTGTGTTTAAATATGAGTGTATGTGATGCATGTTCACTAACCCTAACACATCTTCAGTACAATCTTCGCTGACTTCATTATCATTACCAAGCACTCTGTGTCATACACGATTGTTGTCTATCTGAGATGTTTCTTTTATTGTCGGAGCACTGTGACGGTCATTTTACATGCTACTGCTCTTTCTAGTAGATCCTTACAGTGGTGGTAACTCAGGAAAATTTGCTCAGTTTATCGGCATTGTACATCTAGTACAAACTAATCGAAATAGAACACTCTTAAATCTCAAATTCTAATGACACAAACTATAATATTACCCTCAAAGTTCATGGTTAAGATTTTTAATGCGGTGTAAAAAAAAACAATTTCTTCCTAATTTGATGCTGTGTGTAAATTTGCCCTCTTCTTGTCAGTCTTCCACATTGTGGTCTCTAAAATATATCAGATTGAGGCCTACGGGAGCTTGAGCCTGCATCTTCGGGTTCAGGTTTTCTGTGTTATTTCAGCTTGTTGGTAAAGTTCTGCCAAAATGACCTCTTTGTTGCTTTTTAATTCCTATCTGTGTACTTCAAGAAATTAGTGTTTCAGGAAAATGTTATTCTACAATCCTGTTCACAGTATACTTGTCATTAAATTGCAAAATGTGAACCACTTATGTCTTTACTGTTTCTGTGAACTGAATGATTTTAAATCTGCTCTGTGTCTTACTTTGCTTGTGTGTTATATTCTGTTTACACATCTGATTTGTGCATGTTGCATTTTGTTCCAGCTTTTGTTTAATTTTTTCATCACTGTTCTAATAAACAGAGTTTTTCCAGACACATTTTTTTTTTAAGTTTTCTTTTTATTGATCTGTCAAAAAATGCTGATGCTGATCTGAAGCATCTCTGGAAGCTGCCTCTGTTGGAGGCACTGTTTCTTTCCCAATAGTGACTTGCTTGCACTTGCAGCTGGAGGGCTTCGAACTAGCAACCACCTACCAGAGATATTTTGCTAACAGAAGAAGTGGCTGTATTTCAGTGACAGGTAAACCTACTCTTTTATCGGATGGACATGAACTGAATGCAAAATGGTCATAATAATTATAGTACACTGTTAGATATTGCTTTTCAAATGGACTGTGTGAATGTTGAAATTAATTCCTAATTTAAGACCTAAATTTTCATAGATAAATGTTATGTGCTCAGTTCGGTACACTGAGGCGATAATTCATGTCGCAGAAGGCTGTGTGGACGCTGGCAGTTGCGTCAAGTTAACTGGAGGTAGCTCAGGAAGCAAGAGGCTTTTAAATTCACAATTAAGTCATCAAACAACAGAAAAAATGGCATTATGTGTACAGAACAAAATTCAAAACACAGTAAAACCAATTCATTGCATATGTAAAGATTATCTGCTGATAAATAGACAGTCAATGTATTATTTTAATAAATGTTCTTTGGCTGAATATATAGACAGAAATGTGGGCCACTAAAAACTGAATTAGAATTATTTATTGAATTTGAACAACTCAACTTGAACAAATGTAATAAAAATTAGAATTTGAACCTCATAATTTGAATTTATTTGATTCAAACCGTATTCCAAAAAAACCTAAGGCTGAATGTAATACTTTAAAATTAAATGCAGTTGTTCTGAAAGTATATTTGATCTGCACTAAAAATTCAACTGTCTACATTCAGTTTTAACAATTCAGAATTAGTTCTTGAAATTTATATTCAGATTACAATCTAGGTATCATTGGATAATTCACCATTTATTCTTAGTTCTTAGTTCGTTTTTTGGGGGGGTTATTCATTTTAAAGCAAACTTCCAAAAATAATTGCCAGAATGTGACATCTGAAAAAAATAATTATTTTTGTAACAAAGAACTGAATTTTTGGGGGGTTATTTGTTTATGTTTAAATACACTAATTCTGGATTATCAAGATTCTTTTTTTTTTTTTTTTAATTTGTCACATGCTCATACAGTATGTGCACTGAAATGCAAAGTGACTGTTCTCAAGGCTGTGCAATAACAATAAGAAATAATTCATGGGGAACACAAAAAAGTTGGACACGAATCAATAGATTAAGTTTTGTGACTATTTCACGCACTGCCGTGAGACTGGGTTGGATAGGTCATATTGTGAGAAAAGGGTTGCATTGTCATCATTTTTACCTCCTAAATAAAGGTGCAAATAATGCAAAATGCATGGGTTTCAGCGCATTAGTATACTAAATTATATGAGTTTGTGACAATAGCTACGTTATCAGGAATCAATGGACTCTGCTGGTGAAGTTATCACTTAACCTGCATCCAAGATCCAAGATTTGTTTCACTCACGGGCCAAAAAATGCAACAATGACAAGGAATTATCATTTGACTAATGTACCCATTTGGTTACTTACTGGCATTTGGCACCCCACCATAAGGGACTGAGATTAGTTTGTGGTCAAGAATGTAACTGTATCCATACAAAGAAATAACGTAATCTATTCAAAACCATAAGCGAAGGGAGGGGAGGGGCCACAGGGGCCATGGTCCTTGCTGGAATCTGATTGGCCCGCTCTCGGCCCTGTCAATTAAGTACTGTCTTCTCATTGGGTAGTTTCTTTGAGGAGCGCTAGCTGGTCACTACAGCACAGTTTTATGGGGGCGGGGTGAACAGAGTATTGTGGTAGTGTATGTGATGGGACCGGCTGGAAAACTAAACAAGCACACCTCTTCTCTCACTTTCACTCTGCAATTACGGCCACTCTGAGACGCTGAGTGTCACGGTAAATTGAACACAAACGAGTTACTGATATGTTTTATCTTAACTCGTAGATTTACACATTATCTTTAGTTCATCATTTAATATTTTGATGACAAAATCTGATGTTATTTGGTAAAGAAGCTTATGAAATGTGCCAACTAGATGGTAAATAACCGTCACGCAGTTCCTGCATTAATGATTTTTCTTCTTATAATTTTTTTTCTTTTTTTTTTTAATAAAAAAAAATCTGCTAACGTTAAATGAAGATACTTTACACAGAGATTTTTTGGGAGCAGCCAGGGCATTCCCAATCTCAAGTCTGAGTTACAACTGAATGGTGACGTTTAGTCTCTGTTACAGCAGCAGGGATCAGAAATGTCACAAAGAGGCACAGCCAGCATTGTTAGTTATCTTAATCCTGTTTAGGACTTTCATGTTGCCATACATAGAAGGTCTTTGGGGGTCCACTGGACCCCAAGAAAGAATATGTGCAAAATAGTTGTTGGTATTCATTATAGACTTTTATACTACGTTAAATAAAATTTCTGATAGGTTGACGTATTTTTGGCTCCAAATGCATGACAAATGCCCCTCTTTTTGCATTTCAAAATAAAATCTTTAAAAATCAGAAAACAATACATGTCACCTACACCAAATACCCTGGGGTCCAAAAGACCCCAATAGTCCTGAACAGAGTTAAGACGAGGCCATGTGAGGGTCAGATCAGTGAACCTAGACAGGTTCAGGGGGACAGTTCTGAGGACAGGCATCCAAAGCAGGGCCAGTCCAGCAGCTGTAGTCCATCAGCACTAGGTGAAACGCAGAGCAGGACAGACAGAAATTCCTCAGAGCAAATTAAGAACAACATTGTTAATATAAAAGAGGAGAGCATTGTGTTTATGTGTGTATTTACATGTATGTATAATTTTAATTTACCTTGAGCCATCAGGCTGTTATTTTAACATGAATCTACACACTGTGAATCAGTTTGAGTATCATGAGTTGTTTTTGAAAGAAGCAATTACTGTACATTGTACAAGTAAAGAACACTTCTCGAGAAAGTACGATAGACTACATTTATGAATAACGCAGTAATTGGATGCCTCCCAAAATATAGCATTGGCCCCCTATTGCCCCTCACCCACCCAAAAAAGACCAATAAAACCTGGAATTGTCACTGTTCAAAACAGTTATTACCATCTTACCATCCGAACCATGAGCCTTGCCTCCCTGGAGGAATGTGGGAATAGGCACTAAGTGTACTTTAGAGCCATTAGCAGGTTCCGATTGTGTCCCACAAGCTTTGGTGTCAGGGGTCAGACCACGCCTCCTCAGCCTTCCGCTATTGGTGCAAGTCTGAAAATTAAATTCAAATTCTATCAGGTAACACGTGAACCAGCCCTGGCTCACGGTGAACATACGAGGCCAGGGCAGGGTAAATCCTGAATGTACTCTCAATTC